ATGATCTAAACGACGGGAAATATAATATGGAGGGGTTAGTAGATTGTGACGCATAATCGGATTATGATAAATTTTGAGAAAAAGAGACAGGCGAGAATATTGTCTACATAAAGCAAGAGTGGGTAATGATAACGATAGTTTCATGGAGGTTACACTAGAACTACGGTGGTAGTTGGAAAGTATGAAACGTGCGGATTTGTTCTGGACGGCCTCCAATGATTGAACGAGGTACTCCATGTCGGGGTCCCAAACGGAGGCTGCTTATTCCAGCTTCAATCTAACAAGTGATTTATAAAGAAGTTTGAGAGATGATGGCACAGAACTAAAACTCCTTCTTAAAAAGCCTAGCATGCGATTAGCATTGTTAATAACATGTTCAATATGAATATTCCATGAAAGATCAGATGTTATGTGGATGCCAAGGTATTTATAACAGTGCACAGGCTCCAGTGGAGCGCTATTAAGGTAGTAAGTAGGAAAACGGCATTACGACGGGACACACGCATTGACTTGCGCTTGGTGATGTTTAGTTCCATTAGCCATGTGCGGCACCACTTAGATATTGAAATTAGATCTGACTGCAATAAGGTTGTGTCACTGTCGGTAGAAATTTCCCGGTAAATAACGCAATCATCTGGAAATAAACACACAGAGGATGAAATGATTGCTGGCAGATCGTTGATGTGAATAAGAAGGAGTAAGGGCCCTAAAACCGAACTTTGCGGAACACCAGAGTTAACAGGTGTTAAATGGGAATTAGAGCCATTAACAGTTACGAATTGTGAGCGATGAGAAAGAAAATGTTAAATCCACTGAAAAACGCTTAAGTCAATATTAAGTTTACTCAGCTTAAAAAGCAATAATTGGTGACTGACCTTATCGAAAGCTTTCGAGAAATCGAGGAATACGCAGTCCGCCTGAGACCCGCGGTCAAGAATGGAATGCAGATGATGAGTGAAAGATAAAAGTTGCGTTTCGCAGGAAAATGTTTTACGAAAGCCATGTTGGTACTGACTGAAAAATGCATTAGAATCAGGAAGGTTAGCAAGGTGGGAGTAGATGACGTGTTCGAAAATTTTGCAAGGAACGCTTGTTAAAGATATTGGACGCAAGTTGTTGGGCGAATGCTTACTCCCGCCCTTGTGTAGAGGAACCACCCTCCCCACTTTCCAATCACCAGGCAGACATGATTCCTCTAAGGATTGCAGAGAAATTTTAGCCAAAATGATAGATGAATAATCCTTAGTGATCTTAAAACATTTAGAATTAATTTCATTAACACCAGTGGATCAGGACAGTTTAAGGGAATCAATTAGTTTAATTAGACCTAAAGGATCAATTGATATTGGAAACATTGGGAAAAAGTTCGGTGATTGAAATTCCGGGTCGGGACTGTCTCCAACGGCGGAAAAATCTCTTGAAAATATGTCGTTCAGTAAATTCGCACAATCATCTCTTGGCACCAACTCTCCATTACCATCCGTTAGCGATAGAAGATAACCTTCTTTTTGATTTACGACATTCCAAAACGGTTTACGGTTGTTCATTAACATTGACGGTAACGTTTTAGTGAAAAAGGTAAACTTAGCATCTCTAACCGCATTGTTATAACTTTATTCGGCTAGTTTATAGGATGTCCAACGGTTTTCGCTTGTTGAGCCTTTTGCCGCACGGAACAAACGCTTATTTTTATTGGCAAGTTTATTTAGAGTAACGTTATACCATGGTGACTGTACGACATATTTTATGACATGCCAAGGAATGTACGTATTTGTACGTCTGTGTACGATTTCTTTAAATAAATTCCAGTTGTATTGGACCGCGCGCTGATTGAAAGTCAGCAGAAAGGAATCCATAAATACACAAAGTTCTTTGTTAATAGCTGCAAAATTGGCCTTACTATAATCCCTTATTAGCTTTACGTTTTCAACAGGTTTCGCGTTCTTTGAACTTTGAAATAAAAGTGCATTCCTGAATGGTCACTAAGGCCGGACAAATAAGAAATCGGCGAGACAAGGACGGCGCAAGTAGTAAGAGTAGTAAGGACTAAGTCCAGTATACTTGAACTGCTCGCAGTAACTCTGGTAGGTTGGTTAACTAGTTGATGTAGGTTAAAGTCTGAATACATGTTTACAAACTCGCTGCACTGAGATGACGAAAGGCTTGGAACAGGGTAATGGTCTAACCACACGATATCAGGGAAATTGAAATCGCCGAAAAGAAAAATTGGTGAGTCAGGAAAACGCGTTGTTACAAGATGGATAGCATCATGTAACTTGTTTACAAAGCTGGAGCTACACTGAGGAGGACGCTAGCAAATACCAAGAATGCATCTTTTAAAATTCATCACTAGACACATCTCTGTTTTCAACTCAGAAACTTAATTCGAGCCACGGGCTTCAATAGCGACAGTTCCCCCGTCATCGGCACACCATTGCTTGGCTATAAGGTGCACGAGTGACGACAGAACGCGTAGGATACTGACCGAGGACCTATGTAGCTCGCACAGAATTTGGCTAGTGCGGCTGCAATGTCTTCAAGCTCCATCGCTTTCCACATGACCCTAATCTCCGGCGGTAGTGGGTTACGTCCGTAAACCGAAAATAAATTTCCCCAACGCTATCCTCTCGACTGTGATCGGAACATTTCGTGAATGGAGCGGCACTTAACGCTGTACCGTGGATGTACACATGCAAGGTGGGTGCAAGTTTTCTCGTGATAATTGCTGTTGCAGCTTGTAACTTTTTGTAGCAAAATGTTTCTTAGTATTGATATTTTGAAGTAATGACACTCACTCAATTTTATCGTCTACAACACACAGTTGAAGGCTCATCTCCGCCGCCGGGTGTGGCTGGAAATTGTCAAAAAGTTATTTCTATCGGATTTCCGGAGTCGCGATCTCCTGAGCGACACCAGAGAGCCGTTAAAGGGATACTGAACTGTGAAATCGGGTCGACGTTTTTGGTCTTAATCGCAAGAATGGCCCGTCATTTAATTTTTACTGGCGCTGGTAAAGCGAAAATACCACGTAAATTTTAATAAACCGGAAAATAAGCATTTTAAGGTGCCCCTGGTGAGCGTCTCCGGAACCTCGCTTCGTGACGTCAAAGACCTCAGAGACCTCGCGCAGCTGCCTCAGGAGACGCGAAAAATCACAACTTTGTTGGTTTGCTGTCACCTGTGACCTGCCGCGTCTACGTCGAGCTCGGCGGCGTGGTTATGGCGACACGTGCGTGCGCCAAGAGCGGCAGCAGCAGCAGCAGTAGCTGCAGCGGGAGCGACGCAGTACCGTCGGATGAGGAGCGCGAGCACCTGCCAGCGAAGAGGCGTAAGGTGCTGCCTTACGCCTGCGACCCGTCCGCGACGTCGGACAGTAATGAAACTTCAACGGAGCCAGCAGCGGAGTCCTCGCCAGACGCTCTGCCGCGAAGTGACAGGCGGCGGCTACTCAACACACGCTGGTAAGAACACGCGCACATGGCGCAGCGTATGTCTTGCATAGGCCCGGGAGAGCGATTGTTTTAGGGTTGCGCGAAGTTGACTTGAAGCCTCGAAGAACCGATTGTTTTGGGGTTGCGCGAAGTTGACTTGTAGCCTCGAAGAACCGATGATAAATGGGGTTTTATATATTATGTTATCAGGTGTACTAGTGACTGACATGCTCTTGGTATCGCCGAGCGGCGGCGAGTAAGCTCCAACCTGAACTTATCGGCTCCATCGTTTGGGCTACAGAAAGATGCGCCTCCTTTTGCTAGAAACTGTCAGTGCTAAGGCAGGGGCTACCCGTGCACCTGTCCCGCGAAGGCGCGTTAGAAATTGAAGATGCATCAGCTGCGTGCGGGCTTGAACCTGCACGTAGTGCCGATACACCGTCGAAGTACTCACGTGCGTGCTGTACGTTTCTTTTTGTTGTTTTTTTTATTATGCACGTGTTTGCGCAATGCTGGGCCCCAGGTTGGGCACTCAGGCCTTTGTGGCATGGGCAGCACTGCTTTTTTGCGGCCCTCTATGCCTGGGTCAAAGATTCCGGAATATGAATAAAGTATTACTATATTATTATACGCAAAAATGTAGCTGCTGTATAGTGACTGCATGGTGGTTGTGGATACTCCCAAAAGGCATCTGAGGCTTGAGCAGTGTTTGGGTGACACAATTGGATTGAGAAAAGAAAGAGGCAAAGTGTGTAGCCACACCAGTGCCCACACAGCATTACAGAAATGTTGACATATGCACTAATTCATGTTTCTACCTTTGGGAAACAGGTGCTGCTGCGAATCCCGGTGTGGCATCATGTCCACACCAGTGGAAAGTGTGTGCTGCAAGGAGCAGTGCAAGGTCAAAGAGAAGGCTGGGAGCCTTCCCTGCATCACAGCACACAGGCTCTTCGAGCTGTACTGCCTGGACAGGGATATCCTGGACCTCGAGTACAGGAAGCTGAGAGTCTGCCGGCCTCTCAGCACAAGAAACATAAAGGAGATAAATGCGTACGTACAGTGAAACTAAATTACTATACTTTTTTACTATCATGTGCACCGCTTTGTAAATAAAGGGAGGATGCAAAGCGAGATTTGCATTAGATGAACCAGAAAAGGCAGTGCCTCAATGTTGGCAATTGAAGTTTCCGACACAGGCAGGTTTTTATTGGTGGCCTGAAAAACATACCCAAAATTTAGAAGCAAACCATTCATTACATGCTTGCTCGCTCGAATATGCTTGTTTTAATGAAACTACAGCTTGTGGCGTCTTGCTGCTGGCCATCGAACTAAAAACAATGAATGCCTTCTAGTTCCAAGTGGATACCTGGCAGTGTAACTAAATAACTTTATTATGTTATCATTGCAGTAAGTACAGGTACACGGCATACTGCCAATTTGTTTGGTGGATACACGGAAGGCTCGGAAAGGAGAACCGGGTCACCTTGCCCAGCTGCGTGGTGACCAGGGTCCGCAAAGAGTTCCCCGCCCCGAACCCTGCAGACTACACGGGCTTCAAGCAGTCAAAGTGCTGAGTAAGTTTGCATGCTATCTACCTTCAAACCTCCTAAATATGTATCTTTTCCTACCAAGCACTTGGGAGCAACAGCTTGCACGAGCAGTACATAATTAATGTTAGAATGAAGAGATCAATATTTGACATATAAGAAACTCACTGTTTATTGCAAACTAACCAATTTTTTACTTTACAAACAATGTGTAACAACGATCACACACTGGAGACGAGGAAATGGGCCAGAGACGTTTTGAAAAGGAGCTCATGGCAAGGAGCTAGTGGCCTGGGAGCGCATGGCCCAGGGCTTGTGCTCGGAACACATGAGATTGACACGTCAGATCGAACTGCTTTGTTGCTTGTGCATAGTGTAAATAAATGTTTGCATCAACGTAACCAACAATGACCACCAGAAGTTCATGCATTTTGTGCGGAAACCCGCTACGTAACAATTCGACGAAGGGAATCTGGTAGACCGAAGCAATACCTATCGAACGACAGAAGCAACGTTCCATCGAGACAAGACTGAAAGATCATGGACATCCTCAAGAAGAAACGGAAGACTCTGCAAACACAAGTAACTAAACTCCTCAGCGAGGCAAAAGAATTATTTCAGCTGACTCCAGCAGTCATCGATGACCTAGAGATTTTGATTGAGTGCATAAGCCTCTCTCGGGATCAACTCGGCCACGTAGATGCCGCGATCGAGCCTTTGATTACCGAAAGAGACGTGAAAATGGAGTTCACACAAATCATAGATTATACTGACAAGATTGTCACATGCCTCACGAAGCTCAGAAAGAAGGCGAAGGGCGTGGAGAACAGCCAACGAGCAAGTGGTCCCTCGAACGATTGGAGAGCAACAGCCGTAGAAAGTCAAGCTTCCAAAATTAGAATTTATCAAGTTCAGCGGCAACCGGAAGAATTGGCAAGCATTCTGGGAGTGAAACCACAATCCACGAGAATCCGGAACTGACTCCATCGGAAAAGTTCAATTACCTGAGATCAGCGCTTACCGGAGATGGATCAGCTGCCATCCGAAACTACAGCCAACCGCTCAATGCTATGCGGACGCGATCGACCTTCAACAGCAGCGGTTCGGCAAGCAAGAGACTCTGGTACACAACCACATAAAAAGTCTGATGGACATCCAGAAGGTACCACTTCAGGGCAATGCCCGAACCCTGCGTCGTTTGTACGACAGTCTTCAGGCGCACATCTGGGGACTTGGAGCACTGGGTGTGGGCGAGGAATCCTACTGCGCCATGCTCTACTCGCTCCTACTGCAAGCACTACCGAAGGACATGTCCCTGGATTACAACCGGAAGATGTCGTTGGAGGACACCAAGAACGCCACCGCAGTGACGGGCACCAGTCCCGAGTCTCCAACAGAGAATGTTCATCTAAGAGCTCTACAGACTCTACTCAAATTTATTCGAGTTGAAGTCGAGAGCTGGGAAAGGACGTCAGAGGAACAAGAGGACGACTTTGGCGGTAAGCCTGCAATTCGTTTCCCTAAACAAGAACTGCCGAAGAAACTTTCAAACTACACGAACCTTCGAAACTCTACCGCAGCGGCCTTGTATGGCAAGACTGAAGGCTTAGAGTGTTAGTTCTGCAAATCCGAAGAACACGCCACACCTGACTGCAACGCCAATATTGAGCTCACTGAGAAAAAAAAAACAAAGATTACAGGCTGGCAACAGATGCTTTCGTTGCACAAAAGCAAACCACACGGCGAGGATGTGCCGAAGCACGCCGTGTTGCACCAGGTGTCAAGGATGGCATGCGCCTACTATGTGTGACCCGGATTACGTACTGGAACGACTTTTCGCGGTGAATAAAACAGAAAGCGAAGATAAAACACCGGTCAGTCTTCAGATCAATGGAAAGAACTGCAAGCCAGCAGTGTTCTTGCAGACGGTGACCGCATGGGCCGAGAACAAAAACAAAAGAAGACTATCCCGAATTCTTTTTGACAGCAGCAGTCAACGTTCCTTCATTACGGAGGAGCTGTCCCAGAGACTCGGTTGCAAACAACTCGGGATGGAGATCCTCACGTTCGGCATGTTCAGAGGCGAAAGCACCGAACGTATGTTTCGCAGGGTGCAGCTTACTTTGCGGGACCAACGGTACTACAAAAAATATGAAATCGACATGCTAGAAACACCTACCATCTGCGAACAAAATCTCCCGAGCCCAGATTAATCCATCGTCGCGACATTAAAGGAGCTCGGTTGCTTAGTAGGAGATGCCATGACCGGACTGGAACATCGGGGCATCGATATCCTGCTTGGCCCGGATCACTACTGGGAGTACATCATTGGAAAGATTCACCGACAGAGGAAGCTTGACTGCAGTGCAGCCCGTATTCGGATGGGCGGTTCAGGGACGAAAAGGGTCAAACTCCCCGGTTATTAGTTGCTCCAGGGTGGTCATGCGGAGAACGGCGGTCCAAGAGCCCGAACCCATGCCAAGCCTCAAGCAATTCTGGGAACTTCAGAGGATGGGTGTCATCGACGCATCGGTGGACGATCCTTTGGACAACGATGTCATGCGAGACTCCGAAACTATGATCGCCAAGACCAATGGGAGGTGCGAAGTCGGCCTTCCATAGAGGGCAGACATCAGGTTGGCAAATGACAAGGTTGCTGGAATGCCACAGAAGAACTGCAATGTGTGACATGGCACCACCTGCCGGGAAAGGAGAACCCCGCCGACCTCATGTCACGAGGTCTGACCACCTTGGATTGGTCTCCACTCCACTCTGTTGTTCGGGGACCAGTTGGTTGCCGCTGCCAGCTAAAGAATGGCCCAAGGAGAAGCGCGAGGAGCCACCTCGATATAAGCTCGAGGAGAGGGGACCGAGAGCTGACATATTGGACATTTCAACACCATCTGCAACGTTGCTTGATGTCACCGCATTCAGCTCGGCTTCAAAACTCAACAGAACAAGAGTGTGGATGTTTCGATTCCTTCACAACGTTAGGTCAACGGGAAAACAATCGGGGCCTCTGACTGCAGAGGAAATCCAAGGAGCGCGGACATATTGGCTAAAAGCTAATATCGGCGTTTGCCGCCAAGCTTCGACGTGCGACCAGCAGAACCGAGACCCCATCCACTTCTCCTCTTCGAGACTTCAGTAGTTTCATCAACCAAGAGGTAGTGCTTCGCATAAGAGGGCGACTCCGATCGAACAACATGACATACGATGAACGAAACCCTATCGTACTACTGAAAGAGCATCGATATTCCACGGTACTTCTGATCGACGCTCACATGATGGTGTTACACGCAGGAGTAAGACACACTCCAGTCCAGCTCCGCGAGAGGTATTGGATCCTTCGGGGTACGAGAGCTGGTGAAGAAGATGCTGCGCTGTGTGTAACGTGCCAGCGATTTAGTGCTATTCCGGCGAGTGCTCCAGTGCTCCAGCGGGACCTCTGCTGCGTACGAGAACGACGCAGGCTGAACCTTTCGAGGTAGTTGGTGTAGATTTTGCAGGACCGCTGTACATACAGGCAAAGGACGTCGTACATCACGCTGTTCACTTGTCCAGTGGCGCGGGTGGTTCACTTGGAGCTCGTACCAGACGTTTCAACAAGAAGTTTTCTTGTAGCTGCCCGTAAGTTTGTGTCATGGAGGGGACTTTGCCGCATCATCTACTCAAACAATGCGCTAACCTTCAAGCGAGCCTCCAGAGACCTGGCAGAACTTCGGAAGATCCTACGACACTCAGAAGTGGTGAATCACTTCGCCAATGCAACCATCGAGGGGAGTTTTATTGTTGAGCGTGCTCCTTGGTGGGGAGGATTCTACGAGCGACTGGTTTGATACGTGAAGGTGGGACTAAGAAAAGTGATCGGGAGAAAAACTATGAACGCAGCAGAAGAGTTGTCCACAGTCCTATGCGAAATTGAGGCGATGCTAAATTCTTGTCCCCCAACATTCGTTTACAATGAGCTTGACGAAGGCCAGCCGCTCACACCGACTAGCTTTTTCAGGGGACGACGACTGACAGCACTTCCAGTGGCTGAAAGAGAAGACTTTGCGTCGTCTCCAGAGATGCTCCGAGAAATATGGAAACAAAGGAAAGCATTCTTTAACAGACTCTGGGTAACGGGAGGTCAGACTACCCGAGAGAACTTCGATCTGCCCTTGAAACAAAAGGCCAGCAATCGCCACGTCTGGAGGTGGGCGGGCTCGTCCTTCTGAAGGAACAGCTCCCACGTTTACTCCGGAAGATAGGAAGAGTTGAAAAGGTTTTCTGTGGGCGAGACGGCAGGATTTGTGCATGTATAGTGCGCCCGGACAGGGGCAGTCTTCTGAAAAGACCAACTTCTCTATCCACTAGAGATAACAAATTTAAAATGGGGTAACACCCATTCGGTGGGGAGTCTGTACCAACAATCGGAGACCTAAGACGAGAAAATGGGCCACAGACGTTTTGAAAAGGAGCTCGTGGCAAGGGGCTGGCGGCCGGGGGCTCGTGCTCGGAACAGATGCGATTGACACGTCAGATCGAACTGCTTTGCTGCTTGTGCATAGTGTAAATAAATGTTTCAAGTTCCTGCACAATGTACTGTCAGGGAAAAATGATATGCAAACAGAGGAGCGCGTGGCTTGCGGTACAGGTTGCGCTGCCTGGAAGTGAGCCTAGGGGCGAAGGTGCGTGGCCTACTCCGATATGTTTATGCTCTCCGCTTGGCGCTCCCTAAGCTTCATCAGTGCGTCTCTTAGTGCACTGAAAGCTACCACCTCTATCTTTGCTCGCTCCGAGAGAGTGCGCGCTTTAGCTGCTACAAGCAGCAAGCTTCCTTGTGCCGCATGCGCCGAGTGAGCAAAGATAGTGGTGATAGCTTTCAGTGCACTAAGAGGCGCACTGCCGAAGCTTGGGGAGTGCCGAGCGAAGGGCGTAAACTCATCGGGTAGGCCATGCACCCTCGCCCCTAGGCTCGCTTCCAGGCGGCGCAGCTTGTACCGCAAGCCACGCGCTCTTCTGTTCGCATTTGATTTTTCCCTGACAGTACATGTTCCTTCAGCTTCAGCTTAGCAGTTGAACCGGGAACGGTGGTTAGAGATGAGCAGGTCCTTGTTGGGGCGTTCATATCCACTGGACAGAGTTGGGGGAGCCTCGACACAGTTGGCCTTTCGTGCAGCTCGGTACGACGGGTAGTGGCAATTGAGGGCGAGGGTTTCCTTCATGAGCTCTTGTACATAGGCTGAAATTAAGACTAGATGTTAGAAGCTGGTAGTTGTACTCGTTTTGACATCTTACCGTATGTGCAGGGCCCTTTCATGGGAGATGCAATTGGCCTCTTTGTTTGTTTAGGCCGCTTGACCAGGAACCTTTTTTTGCCTTCCTTAGTAGTCGCCTGTGGCCTGTCGCTGTTTTCGTTGAAATGCAGCGCTGCCACAAAGACTCTGAAAAGTTAAGACTTTAGCGGGCACATGCAAACAATTGGTTAGCTTGCATACCTTGCCTGCATGCTCTCGTAGCCGAAGTGTGTCGACTTCGGTGCGAACTGGTTCACAGTGCTGTGAAAGCACTCAGTTGCGTAGGTTTGCGCTGAGGTTGAGAGCTGCGGGATGTCCTTCAGCAGTGGCTTTGACAGCACGATGCTCTTTAGCTTGTCGTGTGCCTGAAGTCCTGGATAAAGTAGGACACTTGTATTACAGACTGTGTGGTTTCAAATCTGCTATTACAACAATAACACTTAGGCTCATAAGAAAAAGTAGTAGTTTTGTGTAATTAAATTAAAAATATATGATATCCAGAGGTTAATAAAAGGGTTAGAGCTGATAAGAACAGATTAAATTGGGTAAGTTTAATAGGCTGCTACCAGTCCTGCTTACTGCCCGTGTTTATGATGCCTAGATTTTTTTATCGAATAGACCAAGCGATGCCGATTTTAATTTTGCAAAGGCATGATGCACCAAATCGTCATGCTTGGTTGACTCGTGTGCCCGAACATGTAAGTACAGGTCCCAGCGGTCCGTATAAACACCGCGCGGTAACGATGCACGCGGAAGAAAGCTGAAGCTACCACCTATCGGCTCACTCCCCTCTACCAGCAGTCATAGGTTCTTCCCTGGCTGCCACATGGACTAACCAGTATAGAGAGCCAGTAAACTTGCCACATTCATAACCAGACACCTTGAAACTAAGAACCAGTACAACAACTTGGTTGAAATTGTTAAAGAATTCAACCTGAGGCCAATTCAAAAGTTTTATGTGTGAGCAAATTGCGGTTCCACAAGAAAAGGCACACCAGGGCCCGTTTGCTTGAAGCGCTAACTATGGCTACAAGTTGACTGCAGTACCTAGGCGAGGGATTTTGAAATCACGCGACTGGCTCGGTAGAGATGCGGGGAAACATGGCAGTACCCCGGTGAGTTAGCGCTGCTCGCTTTGGAACTAATATGTCGTTGTAGCTGCAGTATCGGGTGCGTTAATCAGCAACGAATGGTGCAGGAGCCTTCACTTTGCCTTACCTCACTTAAATCGCAAAGCATGAGCAATGACCTTGCCACATTTTTTAGTCTTTCCATTCTGGCCATTTCTAAGCCTAAATGAATGCGATAATTGTCAGCATGGCAACGTCTTTGGAAAACGGATTGCCTTGACTGAATCGGCCGGGTATTCATACCACACAAAAGCAGACAGCGTCGCAGCAGACCTTTTTCTAAATACCCAAGCATTGAGGAGAACGCTGAAAGTGTAATTCTATGGTCCACGAGCGCTGGTCTTCCTCTTATAAACGATTCAAAGTAAATAGTCATAAGGCTTTGACAAGCATGCGTGCAAGGCAAAATTTGTTTTAGACTTGTGGGCAGACCAGCATGTCTGCCCACATCTCATTGCGCAATGTGTGGCACTGCTATCGGCCGGACCTGTTTGTTTGCAAACATGAGTTGGTGTATACTTCACAGCATCACTTGGTATGAAACACTAACATGTCAACACTGTTAATATGCTGTGGTCTACTTGCCCTCAGGAAGCCACTTTTTCTTCCCCAGGTCTCCGTGCTGGCACCTTGGATACAGGGGGTCGGCATGTTCGTGCAAGTCAGCCACGTGTCCCACCAGGGAAGTCCACTTAGGAAGGATCTCCTCTGGCGCTCCATCGCTGGATTCCGCACACCAATAGAGGTGCTTGACAGTTGCCTGCACCCAGTCTTGGAGTCCCACAAGGGATTTGAGTTTCCCAGCTGAGACCATGCGTTTCTTGATGCCTGAAAAATGAAGCATTGTATTCATTCTGCTAAGCACCAAGCTTACATTGCCAGAAACAACAGCTTGACAAAATAAAGAGTTCATAATTATGAACACCAAAAACAAGAAAAACCCAATCCTGCCCCATTTTCTCAAGTATAAAAAAAACATGGCGATACCTCACTCTAGGACACTTTACTTTTTAGACGCTTTCGTCGAGTGTAAAGTTTGTGCCTGCTGTCTTCGATACTGCGCAAATAGTTACGGGACGGAAGAAACATCAAAACCCAAGCAGTTTGGGCTCCAAGTCGGCATGCGCATGGCCTGGTGAGCGAGATCGTTCCCAACCGCTCTGGGGACGCCACCTCGCCCAACCTTGCCAACCGCGACCGGACCCTGAGGCCGAAAGGCTCTGGCACAGCCAGGAACGGCACCGAGGTTGGAGCTCCTCTTTCTGCCTAGCATGCAGTGCTCAGAGCTATCGGCGTCTTTCCTTGCACTGAAGGCTCTAGGGACTCCTTCGGACACGAAGGTCCTATTTCGCGAGGCCTGGACAAGGGCCGCTTTACCGAGCAGATTTGCTATATGTCGCTCACATAGTTTGACAATAAAAGCTTGCGGTTCTTCTCTGGAGAAAATATTGCGGGCGACCACACGGACTGCTCTCCGCCGCCGCCGAGGGTGGCTGCCGCCATGTTCTCAGCTGTTCGCTTGCTCCCAGAGCGGGTGCCTTCCCATAATCCTCCCCGATCCAAATTGCGATGCAACCTCCATTTACATGTTTTGAATAAATGTGCATTCGCCATCTCAATCCACCTCTGTCTAGCGACTTGAATGCGATGCGCTCTCCTACTGTATTGTTTGTTTACATCACCGCATTGAATGCGACAACTGGGTTCGATGCGACTAAGCCGCATTCATGTAAACACGGCTTATGTTTCAGCTTATATTGTACTGCAGCGAAAACTAGAAGCGCAAGCTCATGGCCTTGGCAGCTGCTCCTGCTGCACGAGAGCTTGTGCCGCCGAGCAGTTGCCAGACAGCAAGGAGCTCCCGCTTGTAGCCTTTCCTGCAGTACAACATACGCAGAAACAAAGTATAGTGACAGGCAAGGGTAGGAGTGTTCTGCAATTAAATGTTTTTTTTGTTTTTGCATAACCTGGAACCCCGATTACTTATGGCTCACCTTTTGCAACGTGCCAGCAGTCGAACATGTGCCGAATCTGGGGGTACCACTTGGCAAGGAATGACTTGATCATGGAGTGGCGATCAGTGATGATTCCTCCCACAGTCAATCCATTGGCTTCACAAATCAGTAGAGTCCTTTTCAGGCCCTCGAGCTCCATTGCCCAGCTGCCCTTCGTTTCGTTGGACTGAAGTGACAAATAAAACATTGCATTATCACACCGAACATGAAGTATCCAGAACGAAGTCAACTAGAGCTGTTGAATGAGACAACCCATGTCTGAAACAAGTTGTTTTCGCCATTCATTTTCAATTAATTACAGAAAGGTTTCATTCCAGAAGAACAGAAGCATCAGAACATTTATAGCAGGGGAAATTTACCTGCACTGTTTCCACATGGAGAACCTTCTTCGTTGACACGTCGACGACGGTGTACGTTCCATATTTTGCTGAGTGCCCGGGGGAGTCTGACCGCCCATCACCAGCGAGGACCAGTTCTCGTCCACTTGCTTGCTCGAAGAGCTCGTTTTGTTTCCTGTTCCACACCTGGAAGTTTATTTGCAAAGACTTTCGTAAACAAACATAAATCCTGAACATGCTTTTCATTTCACCTATAAGTATACTGCAAGCTTCTTTTCTTTATGTGAACGTCCATGGAAGTTCAGCATTTAAGTTTGAATCCCAGTAAATGCGATCAAAGCATTGACAAATTGTAATTCGTCTTTCTTTCTTTTCAAAATGAGGGGATGAAATGCTCCGAGTCGTGAGTATAAATATTGAAGGCACATATGCACTACTAGGTAGATTGGCAAAACACTTTTTTACTTTCTATTATCTATGCAAGGGCTAGTTGATGAATAGCTTTTGACATTTTCCGTATTGAAACTCAAGAAGCACAGTTTTGCACTTATTTAGGTCGCATACACCCCTGCCTGTTCAGGTCTTGTTCCCCTCGTAGCAATCAACAAGGACAGTTTGGCTGCCGAGGAGCCGCCTTCTCAAGAGCGGGCTCGTTTTTTTAACCTTGAAGAAATGCCACCCCGTATAAAAAATAGAGTACTCGCCGATTAATCTTTACGATCGGCCTGGGAAACATTTATTTTTGATTCTTTTACTTATTCCCCAAATAAAAATCTGCCCTTTACACTGTACACTTATCCAGTAGGTGCAATCAGTCACGAAGCAGGAGAATAAGAACTAATTAAAAACGTTGCCTCCACGTTTAGAAACACATAGGGCGACAATTCACCCACATGGAATGCGGCGAGTCTTCGAGCTTGAAGTATGTGCCATGAACCCTGTATATACTTGTTTTGCCCACACAGTTGGTACCTTTCCACCCCAGGAGTGTGGTAAAAATAGGTGCAGAGGAACAGAGGACATCTCAGCTCTCCCTATTTGCAATATTTTCCAGCACATAAGTTGTTTCTTTCCTCACATTCCTGTCAGTGCATCTTACACAGAGGTGCGACTTACACCGCTTTTTTTGCAAGTATAAACCATAGCTGTGCAAGGCCGTATCAAAGTTACAACAAAGGAGAATCGGCAGAGCCTGTAGTTTGTATGGCATCGCACAGACCTAGATCCATTAGATGTAGCCTCGGGTGCTGCAGTGTATTGAATCGTACAGACCTAGATCCATTAGATGTGGCCTTCAAGTCGGCGGATCAGCTTTTCCTTACAATCGGAACCTTGGCAATATGCCGGCTTCCAGCAGAGCTTACAGCCGGCCATATCAGAACAAATTTCCCACGGTAGTTCGCAAGAACATTGAAGCTGGCTCTTACTTGTGCTTATATTACAATATACATATGACAGCTTATCAATGCAGTTTTGCCTTGCGGCCCGTATAAAGATGTGCCACCTATAGACGTTTGCAAGTACGGCCTCGGGGCGCCGCCACCTTGCCCAGTTGGAGTGCACTTGGGCGCATTAAATTCGATTACGATGCCTCACTAAGGTGTCGTAATCAGACTATGGCCGCGCCCAAGCACAACCCAACTCGGCAAGATGGAGGCACCCTGAAGACGCACTTGCAAACATGTATATATCAAGCTTTTTGTAAAAACAGCCGTTTATAGGAGTGTGTGACTTGTAGACAGAAACATATGGTGCTTCCTACGCATGTACTACACCATTCAGGATCCCATAGGAGTGCTGTGCCTGAAATATTGGCACCTAAAATAAACCTCTCACAGGAAAGGAAAAGCTTGAAAACGTGCCATACCTGTCTGATCGCTGGTAGAAGGAAGGCACCCTGAATCTTAAAGTATGTCTCGTACGATAAACAGGGCACGCCCATCTGGTGGAGGAGCCTTAGCACTTTTTTGACGATGCTCCCAGAGAAGAGCGTTGCTGCAGCTAGGAGCACATCGCCCAGGGCCCTCCTATTCACTGATGGTTGGCTGGTCCAGGTGTGTTGGTGGCCATTGTTGCACATTCTGTGCACCCGGAGACATGTCCCTCTGATCTTCTTCTCTGTGATGCGGCACAGTGCAGTGCACTCGGGACAATTACCTAGTAGCTCGTCCAAACAAGACTCGAAAACAATAAACTTTCGTTCCGAGACGTAGTCGATGCTTTTGCTGCTCTCATGCTGACTGAGTGCGCTGTCAGATGCAGTGTTCTGCTGTGCATCCCTGGAATAAAAAAAGAAAAGAAAAAAGCAACCTCTTACACACCCTCTCATACTCGTCACTAAAGATGACATATATCCGACTGATACCAACCTCAGAAAGCCGGTGTCGGACATCATCATGAGGAAGCTAGCGTCAGAGGGGAGGTATAGGCTGTCTGCTTCCACGTGTGGCTCTGGCAGCTCCGTGGGACACTCTTCAACAGACTCTTCCTGGCCTGCACTGGGCAGCTCATTGTTTATTGTTGGCAGCTGTGGTGGGTCCGGTGGTGGAGCTGGTTGTCTGCGCACTGGCGGCTGCGGCGACAGAGTCAGCCCTTCAGGCAACATCCAATCTAATGGAGCCTGGGGGACATGATTTGGTGAGGAGCATCGTGGTGTCACGAGGACAGGATTCGTTTGGGACTTTCGTGATGAAGTCTTCAAGGTGACTTGTATGGCTGTGCCATCATAACGTGTTACAACGATCTGAACAATGCTGCCTTCTGTGAAATTTCTTCTTGCAAATACATACCTCGATTTCTGTAGATGCCCGAGGTCTGCGTAGCAGCGTTCCGAAGGTCAGGTTGAGCCTGTTTGGCATTACTGATGGAGGGGGCTGTTCACAGCAGAGGAAATAAAGTGTCTTTCAAAACAAAATCATCCTTGGCTCATGTAATCAGCAATAGGCTAGATTACCCTAATTTGGCAGAATTCAGTACTAAAATATGTCAGCCGAGTAGTTTCAATTGGCGCACATACCTGAGCTCGAACAAGGTTCTTCGATGCCAGCATTTGCATCATGCATTGGTTCATGTCCAGAGTCAGGACCTTGCTCAGTGTCGTCACCAGAAGGGGTTGACGATGTGCTGACCTCTTCAGCGATGAGTGTGGCCTTTGCTTGTGCCGGTGCCTCCAGCAATTCAGCAATTATCTATAAATGATAGGCATAAAAACTTACAACATGCGAACAAACACACTGTCAATATGCTGCTAACACCCAGGTTCTGCTCAAATGAGGGTGACTGGCCCAAGCCCTTATCTTCGTTAGGCTCATGTCACTCTGTGTACCCTCCTCATCTTGACTTTGCTTGAACTGGTAAGCAAATCACACCGTCAAGTGCACAGTCATGAACACTAAGATGAAACGGTCGAATGACGACCGAGGTTAATTAGTGGCCTTGCCTCGAGTCGAGAAATTGAACAACACTTGTAATAACCTCTTGATTGGGGTGCAATTGTCATAAATGGCCAGCTGGTGTTCTTAGTGAACTTTATAAACAAACACCACATTCCGCGAGATTAAGACAGAGTAACTCAGCAAAAGATTTCGCAGTGTTTATTTTTGTTCTAAATTGGCACGCGTTTAGCAGCATCTATTTTTGGCACTAGAATTGATTTTCGCTGCAATTTAATTCCATACACCACCAGGTTTTTAGGCATTCTCGGCACTTGTCGACGTGAAGCATTACTGCGAGCATGTATTCAATGTATGGGAAGAACATAGACGAAACAAGATCTTATAAACCGGCACACTGTTTACAAAAAAGCCTGCATTTGCCCACACCAGGTGTGGGGACTGTGCGAACGCAGAAACCGAATTCACGTGAAGTGAAGCCTCTGCGCCTGCGCAGTGCCGTCAAGAGTGCCACCGCAGCTGCGTGACGTCAGGGCCGCGTGTTGGTCTATAACTAAGATATCGTCATAGTAATCAGAAATATAAACAAGGGGTGGAAATATGTACCATAACAAGGTTCTCATTAAAAAAAACTGCAGCGCTCTTTTTCATTTATTTTCCGCAGTTGAGAGAAACTGCCTTCCAGGTTAACACTGAACAGATGAAGCGACAGCAGCTTGACCACCTCATCAGGGAGAGCAGACCAGAGAGGAAAATGAGTTTTCCAAAACAGAATGATGTATACAGGCACACTTTTCTAAATGGCGTGGCACTCATACTGTGAGTACCCTATTCCGAAATTCAACAGCATCTCCTTATGCGCCACAATGAAGAATAGCACATGCTCAAGATGCCGCGGAGTTTGCACATCCTGCTCAAGCTCGGAATATACCCGCTGCAAACCAAAAGGAAGTACGTAGATCATCAATTAACCACATTCTCCCAGGAATGGTTCAGCTCGGTCCTATGTGCCATTTTCAGGTAGCCCAAATCAAAATTCGATATTTATTGGTTTATGCCAAAGTTCTCAAATTAAAATTAGCTGGCATTTATCAGTAGTAATAAAGATAAATACCAGCCTTCACAACTGAGCCAAAGGTGCCGGCGCAAGCTCGTAGCTTCAAAGCAAGTTTCTAGCAAATGAGCCCGAAAACCGAGTGCCATCGCCGCAGCTACTATACTCCGTTTCACCTCATGTTGTACCGCAACGAAGGCAAGAATCGCGAGCTCACAGCGTAGGCAGCTGCCTACGCTGTGAGCTCGCAGGAAAGGCTACAAGCTCGAGCTTGTAGCCTTTCCTGCGGTACATCATAAGGTGAAACAGAGTATAGCTGCAGTCTCGCCATGTACACGATACCGACAGTGGAGCACCTGCGATTGGCGGCAACCTTTCGTCCGGCTAAGGGCACGATAGCGAACACGGATATAGTACACACTTACCCTGCGCGACGCTGCTAGCGAAAACGCGATCTCGGCGTTTCTCCGCGCTCGTCCTCAAAGGCGAGTTAGCAGGCTTGCGCTAACAGCGTCGCGCAATGTACTACGCTAATCTCACGACCACTCGCATTCGTGCTTTCCTCTCAGAAACAAGCAGAAAAATATTTTAGTAACTGCGCTCACCTCTTTCCGTCGCCGTTTTTCCATGCGAAAACGCAAGCGAGAGCGGCACAGCGGCGCCGTGCACGGCGCCGCTGTGCCGCTCTCGCTTGCGTTTTCGCGTGAAGAGCGATGGCACCACGCCAGGCTTCAAATAGGCCTGTTTTACAGGCAAGCCCAGACTTTGCAGTAACTTCGGGCTCGTCTTGTAGTCCTCGTCTTCGAAGTGCTCCGTGCAAAGACAATCGCCTTTGGCGGGCTTCCATGTTGGCTGGGAAGGACGGGCCGCGCGAATCCACAGCTTCCGCAACGTGGGCTCACTCGGAAACTTGTGCGAAGGCCTGCCGCTGTAACATACGCTGTTCAAGCAGTCTTGTGCAGCGCAGTACCGCGGCATAATTATTGAAGAAACTGGATCAGAATGAGGAACACTCGGCGCGGTTCTCCATTAGGACTGCAGCGGGACAACCGAGTCTTCCAAGGAGCGAGAGGTCTGTGACGTCAGTTCCGCTAGGGCTCCTCCGCGGTGGCGTCAATCGCACCGGCGGCTTCCGGCCGACGGATTGCTCGAACGCGGCTCTTCAATCAAAGAAATATAATAATCCGATCACCATCCCTTGGTATGGTCTTGATTTTTAGGTATAGTAACGTCCCGGGCAGCTCGTCCGGGGCTTATTTTGAAAAGTTCAGATATCGGTTCAGTATCCCTTTAACCTTTGTTGACCGTCACAACGTGACTAGATTCTTTTTATTTTAAAAATTAGTACAAAATGTAGCTGGAAAGGAATCTTCAATTTATGTTTCCGAGAGTTGAAACATGCTCATGCATCAATTTTCCTATCGCCATTTTGTTCGACCGCAGCACCCTCTCCACACATTCGGGAAGTTCAGCAGGTTGGGCGGGGTAAAACAAGAGAGAGGGCACGCGCTCGATTCCGCTAGCAGACGACAAACCGGGAGGTTGCCGTTCTCCATCTTTGGGCTGTAACGGAGGGCTGTACTGAACATCGAACTGTTGCTCGCGGTTGCGGTTGTTGAGTGGTTCGCGTTCTCAGAATATTTATGACTACTCCCAGATCAACGTATATAGCTATGTTGCTTTATTTTAGTAAATTATCAACTCGAGTATCTTTGTTCCGTTACTTCAAATGGCAGTGGAATCAGTCAGCAGTACTACCCTTAACCACTAAGTCTATAGCGTCAGAAGTGAACGTCTTTATTTATTATTCCAGATTTCCACTCGCTGCTGCTAAAGGCCTACACCGGTACAAACTTTGAATAGTAAAAGGGCTGCAGCTACCGGGTTTACTTTTCGCCGGAGAGACCGGCCACTCTTAAAACAATTTTCCCATTTCTTTTTGGCACACAGGTAAGAGCAAAATTGGACCCGGTTAGTAAATTTTTGTCAAGCATAGCAATACACGATAACTTGCATACTTAAATCCGCGCATCTGCACATGAAATTTCCAAAATTACGTGATTTTAAACTGAGTTCGAACGCCAGATGGATGTTAGTTACAGCCTACTCGACGGAGCAGACGAAGCGCAAAGTGAGAGGAAAAGGGCTTTTTTTTTTGCCCCTCTTCCTAGTGAAAGAGTTATACATCGCTTTTAATTACCAGTAAAATATATAAAAGTATAAGAATGCAAAGTTGCGCGGTTTTATCTGAGAAAAATACGCGTCTGTAGTAAAATAGTAAAATCAGGGAATTTACCATATATTTTTCCCCAGCCCACGGCATAGGCTGGACTGCTTGTAGGAGGATCGACACCGTTTTCCGGAAGGCATATTGGCTGAATATTTTCTGAGTAGTTGACTTTATTTTTTAATTTTACAACAGCAATGTCTTTCTGTAAGAGCAATACGATTAAAAGAACAGAATAAGGCCCAACATTTGTGGTGTTAAGACTCTTGCTCAGTACGCACCAAGAAAGGGCCACAATCCTTTTGTATAGGGGTGCAGATGCTTTCAACTTCAACACAGATCACTTGGATTTCTGAAGCCTTGTTGACTGAGACGTTGCCTTCACCTACTTCTCTGGGTAATTTTGTTTGATTGACTGCCATGTTTTGTGCAGTTGAATCTTGTTGGGTATTGATACATTGAGAGAAATTGGTTCTGAGAATGGTTCCAAGACGAATTGAAAACTCACACGCATCTTTATTTCTTGAAGTAAAAAAATAAAGTAAAACAATTACACTCGCGAAATAAGAAAAAAGTTAATTTTTCCAAAGAAAATTTGAATTTGATGAGTACAATTTAGGTGCAAACTTTCCGATGCACTCTGACCAAGCACAAGGTTGTTTTCCTCATTAATTTACAACTTTATATTGGTGTTTAAATCCTACCTTCCACCCTATATGTATTTTGAATGCCTGAAAAGTAAGAATATCTTACAATAAAAAACTTGGCAATCGCGTGGTACGGCTAAGTGTGCGACGACATCAGATTCTGAATATTTTTTAGTCGTGGAATTCAGAACAACGTGATTTGTTTTATGCCTCAAAAACAAATTGCATAAGCATAAAGTCAATACAGCTACAAACAAACAAAGAGACGACAGTAAATAGTTGAGACAACAAATTAGCCATTCTAGGGAAATAAATCATAATAAAGTGTTGCAGTAAAAAAAAATACCAGGCACTTACGCAAAGCAGTGCTCTGCGGTCACCACATATTCCTCGTTGATTAAAGACCCTCCACATACTAAGGTGTCGGTTGAATCATAGATTCCCACCACCCACGGCCAGTGTTCCGGTGGGGCCTCCGTACCATTGATGATTCTCGAAGAAACAATTTTTGCTTTCTGACGCTTCCCACAGTTACACCGCCGGTCGTTATGTTGGTCTTTGCGGTCGAGACGTGCAGATGCTGTAATATTTAGGTCGGAAGTGGAAGTTGAAGAGCACGATTTGCGCTAAAATTTGTGTTTACAAAAAAAGAAAACGAAAAGAGGATATATGTATAAATTTTCTCGATCTCAAAAATACACCTTTTCCTTGAGGACAAAATAATTATGTTGATATGCTCTTAATACACTGGACAAAACTATAACAAAAAGAACATAAGCGTTTTGTTCAAGCGTCAAGTCGGTACCCGCGTTGAACACATATACCAATCAAATGTCGTTGATGAGAACATTGCAGTTGTACAATAAAATCAGAAAATACAAGAAGGTAATGTGTTTTTGCTATGTCGCACTTTATACGTTTGTCACGTATAAAGTTCTCGAAGAAACATACGTTTGACACGTATGATTCTTTTACGTTCTTTTGTGATCTTATCTGATCATATGTGTGCATTGCACGAAGAAATTTCTCATACAAATATTATTTTTCACTGGGGTGGATAAAAAGAGAAATATAAATTTGAACGCGCTTAAATTGTGACTCACTTTTTCAGCCAGTTAAATTCCATAGACATTCCGAGACAAGCAACAAAGTCGCCAACGTGAGAAATCATATTTTTACTTTTGACTGAGTGAGTGCACATTAGCTCCTGCAATCAAGCAACCAGAGACATATGCAAGCGCGTCCTCTACAGGCATGTTGTGTGAGACATAGTGAAGAGGTAAGCCCAAAAGTAAAAAATACACGTGGTCTTCAATGCTATTGGCTCACTTTGAAAAACTTTGATCACTTCGCTAATTAATGACGGTTTGCTCACTTACCAAGCGGTATAAATGCAGTGGCATATAAGAAGATGAGAAAGCGTGAATTCATTGTTCTCAATATCGGCGGGTGCCTTCCTCGCTGCTTTCCTTTTCGAAACTCAGGGGCAAATGCCAACTGCTACGTGTCCATGTTAAGCGAGATTATATTTATGTGGGAACGTAGGATCGGCTGTCTTTCTTCTGCAGATACGAACCGCTCCTGTGATGACATTTGAACTATTAAGTGGTCTTGCCACAGCGCAGATGCGTTTGCAGCGTCTGGCGTTACCGACAATTTCTAAGCAACTGTAAGCTACTTTTGAAATATCTTGCGTTAATTTGACACCACACTAAAGGTTTCGGCATTGAGGTGTCAGAGGAATTTAGTAATTCTACTACTATTCTATTGAACATAAATGTGATGTATACTCTCATGACTTCCATGGGATAACCGTTTCAGTCAGGGGTATCCAAACCCGGTCCGCGGTCGAGATCCAGCACTCGAAGGCCTTCCCACAAGTCCGCGGCTGGTCGGGGCTCTTGCAGTGACCCCCGGCCTGCGACCCGTTTTCAGCAGGTGCCCCCTGCTACTGTCGCAAACTTAAGCGCGTGAAAAGAAATGGCGTTGCTACGCACACCGAACACTTCGTATTCGTGCAGATTCCCGCTAATTTATATTTATGGCACATTGTTATCACCGGCATCTCAAATTTTAGGCCCCTGGTTCATGCCTGCATGACTTCGCTAAAAGTATTTTGAGTTCTTATGTACAGAGTGTCCCGGAAAAAAAAAAAAGCAAAAGTTCATTCCACAGCAAAAATGAAATATACGTCGCCGAGCGCTCACTCTCCACCCAAATAAAGGTAGCGCTAGAGGTCGTAACCAGATGCCAATGTTTCAGCACGAACCGATATGTTATTCAGAAGTTATAAGTGATTTTCTGAAAATTTCAATGAAAAAATGGGGCCCATTGCTGCCCGTTTTCGGTTTCTGGCGTCATAGAGCTCCATGTATTTGAGAGCTCCGTCGGCCGCCATTTTCCCACTGAAAATTTTAGAAAATTACTTATAACTCTTGAATAGATAACGTTTAGTGCTGAAACTCTGGCATCTGATTCGAACCTCTAGCGCTACACTTTGGGGGGGGGGGGGGGGGGGGGGGGTGGAAATGAGCACTCGGCAATGTATATTTCAATTGTGCGGTGAAAAAAACCCTCTAAATTGTTTTTGCTGGAAATCCTGTATATTGTATTTAGTGCACTGTATCACAAGTATCGCCTATCGTCATTACCAGTCCTTCCATTTACCATAGCCTTCTGCTTTGTGCGAATGCCCCAGTTTATATTGGCTTTGATTTATGATTGGTAAAGTTTTATGGTTACAATTAGTGTATAACATCATAATTAGCTAAATATTGAATCAGAACATATATATAAATACGTGTATACAAGGTATATCCATCTTTATTACAAAATAGTCTTGTTATTTGCATGTAGGTTTTTCGTGAATACACCTTGGTATCTTTTGTTTAAATATTCGTTCACTTTGATTCGTTGTGTTTAAATGCTTTTATAGGTCTATTTATGTATGCTTCGTTTCTAATTTATATTTACTTGTTGTTTGTTTTTTTGTCCCTCGAGGTTGCGACAGACATCTAACCCGGCCTACCAGAAAGTTATGAGACCCTAGTTTAAGCCTGAAAACTTGCCTTGAGTTCTGAAACAACTCTACTGAAGTTTGGACATCTCCATGTAAATTCGATATGGTAGGAATTGGGCGTGACGATTTAAACAACATATTGCTTTCAGATATTTTAAGTTTGAATAATTAGAATTGCGATTCGGTATGACGCGTATCTCGTAATTGTGAACTACAACTTTTTTTTTCAAGCTACTATTTAATTAACAGCTTGGAAACGACCATTCACTTCAACAATGCTTGGAAGTCTTCCTGTTAACCATCGGTTATTTTGCGCTGTTTTAAAGTTTTTGTAAATATAAACTGTGATGTTCTAAGCGTTAATGGCCCATTGACACTGGCGGTTTAGCTGCGTTTGCGAAGCGGTTGCGGATGAGATTCGCAAGCGACCCTGTTCAAACACACTGAGACGCGGTTGGCGGTTTCTCGGCAATCACGCATGATGTTTTGAGACTTGTTTTTGGCTACATAGTTTTAGAACCAAAAATCTAATTTAATCTAAGACCCGAAACCAAAATTGAGCCATTTCGTTATTGAAGGTTTTTTTTATGCTGTTCCCACACATAACAAGTTCAAACAGAAAAAAAAAACACAAAAAAAAAACGAAAAAGGCATGGGCCCGCAAGACCCGTCGGCGATTCCCTCGACTTCACACACATGCGAAGCCCAGCTAGGCGCGCCTTGCAGGCTCGCGAGATGAGGCCCCCATCCTTCCTTCGAAGTTGACCTTCCCCGTATGAATAGCTCACCTTGCTTTGGGGGGAGAGGGACAGTTTTTCCCCCTTGTCGTTCGATTTTATCATTTTCGTTGTATTGAGCGGCACTGGCATTGTGCAGGAGATCGAAATATAGGGGGCGCTCGCACTCGCTATCATCATCATCATTACCAGTATAAAGATTGGCCTGTACGGACAACAGGCCGGCAATTAGTTGTATGTGTTTCTATGTTGCATCATTTTCAAAATGGTTCGGTATTGCTCCGTTCCACAATGTACGAGCTTTGCTACCGAACCCGGAGTAAGCTTCTATAACGATCCTCGAGATAGGAAAAAGGTAAAAGTCGGCAAAGAATTATCTGCACACGACATGGTGTACAGTCGGCGTTTCTCCTTCAAAGCGGAAAGCGCCAAAGCGAAAGGTATGTGTGCGAGTAAGGGTAGCAGTGGAATATGTTCTAATACCACCACATTTTGTCTTAGGTTGGAAGAGCAGATTCTTAAACCAACATTAATCCCGTCGGAAAACTTGCCGAAGCGCTCGCACGATTGCGTTGAAAAGACCCGGAAGCCACCTAAACGTATCGTGTTAACAAATGTCGGAGTCAATATTACATTAGCGGTAAGGGAGCTTAGTATTTTGTGATCATAGCAGCCTGACGAAGAGGGACGTGCTTCTATCGGTGCGTTTAAAGTTTGGCCGAGCGTGCCGACTCCGCGGAACACTGCGCGACACTATTAGCACGAACAAAACATCGGTGTTTTTTTTCTTATTTTACTCGGGCACAATATTGGCGAGCACTAAACATTACTGCTTAGGTTATTGGTCTAGACGCGCACTTTCTCCCACACTAATTTAAATTATTATAAATATTGAATAATAGAAAAAATAACACGGGCTATCGAAAGTTTGCGCTACCAGTGTCGCGCTTTTTACGTGTAATAACATCACGTAGCACGACCCGTCGGTGCACTTCTTGGGCACGTTAGACCAAACTGAAATACGCTTGACCGAACATGAGTGAGCACACATCGCACCTCATATTACGAACGGCAAGAGATTGGTGTTGAACGTTTTGGGCGAGAAAAAAGTAACCTACCGTCGATCGTGCGTATTTCAGTCTGAATTTCTATCGGGTGTCCTAAAGCAGTTGGCATGAATTGCTAAATGGAGGCTCATTAACTTTCTTCTTATAAAAAAGAAGATGAGTTCCGAACGTTATTCTTTCTTGGCACTTAGACATGTGATTGTAGATTTTAGAGCAGGAATATTTGCCCCCCATCCAACCTCAGAATTCCCTCACAAAGTACACAAGCCCTCCCAGAAATTTGAAATATTCCTTGAGATTTTTTATACTGAATAAAACCCCGCTTTGGAGTGCACAGTTTATCAGGAGAATCTGAAGCTCAAACTGCACGAGCACCAGTAAATATAGTTGCAATAACTTTTTTTCATGCGACAGAGAGAACCGATCCCCCCATCGAAATGCACTCTGCATTATTCGTGAGACTTACAGTGGCTCCTGTAACACAGCGTACCCCGTTGCCGCGTATGTCGACGTTGAAGAACAATGTTTGTGCATTCTGTGCGCTGCTTTAAGCATGGCATAGACTCCGCTCAGGTTTCCCTCTGACTGGAGGCCAAAGCTACACCCTTTGTTTGCCAGTCTCATCTGCCTCCGCAGACTTGCACAACTTACTCCACCTTTGATGCAGCATGGCCTGTTAGGGTGAACTCCCAGCAGCTGAGGAGGTGCTGTGTTCTGGGATTATACTTTGTAAAACACCTTCATTACAAATGTGAATGCATTTAGAATTGAAAATACTATCATTGAGCAGTTCCCGTGCTGACGAAGTTGACGGCCAGGCGGCAGTCCCTTTTTGACGGTTTGTTCTCACTATTCGACAGATGAAATGTTTGCAAACAATCTCTTCGTTTATGGTGCGAGGTCATGCTATTGTGTGGGAGAGTTCTTGAGCAACAGCGTGGTATATGCGTTTTCAAACAAGGACAAACTACTGAAGCTGTCCGTATTGCTCGTCTTTAGTGAACCACTTTTGTGAGGCAATCATCATAGTCGTAAGGGCTTTTCCTGCAAAAGTACCACAACAGCGCTGCTTGATTGAGTAAGTAATTTGTTTGACTGCACTTTTACTGCAAGGCATTCAGCTTGGAGTCCAATGACAGGAATTCGCACCCTTTAAACACTCCAGCACTTTCAGTTTCAAATTCAAATCAGATCAAATTTTCGTCGAACTTTTGAACTCCCTCACAACCGCAAGGTCAGGTTTTTTTTTCCGAAACTGAATTGCTGACAACACAGCAAATTTCCCTGCCTTATCGGTTTCAAAGAGCGTAATCTCTTTTTCCTATCGCTCTTTCTTCACAAATGCAGTGTTTTGGGAACAGTTATTGTACTTTCTTTCCTTGAAAGAAAGGGTCAGGAGACTCCCAAATGCACCAAACACGTAATTCTTTCTTTTTTTCTATCGCATATGCCACAATCTTAGATCAGTAAGCAAACGTGACGGTATCGGCACGGTGTTTAAGAATGTTTTCAGGCTAAACAAATTGACCCCGTTTTTTTTTTTGTTTTTTTTTTGCGAAGAGTTCATGTAAAAAAACAGCACAGAGAAAATGATGTCAATTGTGCGCCGGGTGTTATCTGCAGCGTTCCTTTAGATTGTGGCCTTTGTTACATAGGGCGAACCAAGCGTTGCATCAATGACCGATTAACCTAACACAAACGTTGCATTAAGAACATGGATCCCGACTCAGAATCTTCAAAATATTTATTGAGTGCCATAATTGTGTACCGGTTTGGCAGTCCACCTAAGTTACCTTAACCAGGAGGAATGACCACTAAACGTTTATTAAGGAGTCTCTCACTATCATTTATCATGGTAATGCAGTGAATGCTCCGTGACTTCATTTAGATACAGAGTTGACAAGATTTCTACAAATCTTATCGTTTTGTTTTGTTTTGGAGCAAGGTCTCCCTCCAACCTAAGTGTCCGCATATTTCTTTGTTAGCCCTAGTCGTCTATCTTTTGTGTCCTTTCTTTTGTTTTGTGTTCGTTTGGGTGTTTTGATGTTTAAAGTTTTTGCCCAGGGTCCTGTTGCTTTGTTCCGTGATAGTTTCGTTCTAGTTTTCTTTTGTGCGTCATATCGAAATGTTTGGGTGAAATGACAAGTGTTCTACCCAACTTCTGTTGTTACTTATTCGGCTTTGCGCCAAGTCATTTGAGGTTTTATGCGTTTCTGTAAAGAGTGTTCTTAGCTTCTTTCTCTTTTTTTTTTGTTTTGTGGGGCAGCGAAACTTTATATAAACAAATCCTTTTGTGAAATATAATTCAGCTGTGTTTGAGACTGTTTGTTATGTTGCCCTTCGTCTTTTCCCTAGACTCGGGGGTTTGTATTACATTATATTAAACCGTCACCAGCTCGTTTGGGCACTAACTTTTTGTTCGTTGTATCTACAAGATGGAAACTTCGTCCCCTTCACGTCTCCTTCTGTTCACTTCTTCCCGGTCTTGCATGTACATTCCCACTTGTTCTGGGTGTTGTGCAAACTCAGCCATCGGATGTCTCATCCGGAAGCGGAGATCGCATATATCAGAATGTGCCTGGGGATCAAGTACGTCGACCGGAGTAGCTTCGCGTACCTGGCATCAATGCAAGTCGGCTGGTATCGCAAGAAGCTGTTAAATGACGAAAATAACCCTTGTAGAAAAGGAACCTTCTTCCCCTTCTCCAGGAATTATTTTCGTCATTCTTGTCCAACTCGCTTGCACCTTTGCATTAATTGCATGAAATCATAACCTTAAAACGCAGACCGCTTGCACTTGTTGGTGTTAGACTGGTTGCACCTGTCAAAACCCGTTTGCTCTACTGACGTCTAAATCGTAGTTAGCTCAGATGGTAGAGTGCTCCACTGGAAATGGAGAGGTCTCTGGTTCGATACCAAGACTAGGCGGAGTTTTTGGGTAGCGCACCAGTCGCTTAGCTTTGTTAGGAGATTTGTGTTTGTCCTTTGTCCCCCTTGTTCCCGTTCTGCCGGGATTATAATTGTCATTCGTTTCCAGCCAGCTTGCACATCTGGATTAATTGAATTATAATTGTTAAACAACTACATGACCTGCACCAAGGAGCGACTACAGATGATGAACCATTTCTCCGAAAATCTTTGATTTTACGCTTCTCGGTGAGAAGTTTAATTGTTCAACTCCTTTCACTCAATGGCAGATGTTATAGGGCTGACTCCTCCATGTTGTGTTTACATACTTGCGACAAAACATACCTCGTAAGTGTGTTTTAAACTTGTTTTTTTCTTCAGCTGTCGCGAATGTTCAGTATTGACTTGACGAAACGTACTGTCTATTATGGGCGCCCTAGTCGACAATGATCACGTGACGTCACTCTGGAAAGAACTTGTATTCTTGTATATGTAGATGTGGCATGAACATAAAACTTTACCCGCACTGCTGTATGAAAGAACAATAAATACTTAAATTGTAGGTGACCTCGTTGAAGATCGTGCGGGCAGTTGCATTTGGAATTTTTGAGAATCGTGAGCCACCTGTTGCATCCTGGAACACGTATTATCTTCTGTTACGGTTGAAAAACGATAAGGTGCCTTTGCAGTTGTGACGATCCTTCCTGGCAAGCCACCGACGCTATGAAGTATGGATGGCAGTCCTCAAGTTTTGCCTACCGTCATTTAAAACAGAAACCCTCCTAGATTGCGACCTGGGAGTATCAACACAGGTGCGAGCTCCCTGAGAAACAGCGCGATCGAGACTAGTCGCAGGTGTACGAAGTCTGGGTAGACACACTGATGCCACGTGTGGCCTTCTTCTCTGGTATCCGATAACCAGAGCAGCGGGTCAAATTCACCGTTCACTTCGACTGACGGCGTACCCTTGAGCCGTGAAATATTACGGGCGCAGACGCATTCGTATATTTGTTGAACTTCACTGCGTGAGTCATCCTACTATTAAAGTCAACCACCGCCAGGCTCGTGCTGCAACGGACTGTGGCTCAGCTTTGCCGGCTGGATGTACTGTGTACGATAGGGCAAAAGAGCCGGTTAGCAGTGTGCACTGGTGCAGATACCAGCAAACAATGAGTGATAAAATCCCTACCTAGGGACCTGCAGCAGAAGATGCTCCGACTCTACTCCTGGCACGTAGCCTGGTTCGATTCCCCGACTACGCAACACATCTCAGAGAAGAAAAATATTTTGGTGAATCAGAAGGAACCTCGGTCGCCCTAGTAGCAATGCCCCAGCATCTTCTTGGCTCTGGTGCCCTCAGAATTAAAAATAAAAATATACATTCGAATTTCTTTTTGGTGGGGGAGGTATTTTTAAGAAATGTAACGAAATACATTTCATCCTGATTGTATCGTGATACAAAGAAACATCCCAAATGCATCTCCATACAGGAATACAAATACTGGTGGAAAAAAAAGTATTGTGATACCGAAATACAGAAACGAAATGTATTTTTCAAATACTATAGCGATACATTTGCATCGCTATACTGCCCAACCATGCTGTTACTCATGACGTGTGTGAAAAGTGGTTCCAATGAAATGGAAATCAAAAATTCATAATTTTCCTATTGCTAAGAAACCTTACAACACCTTAGCTCTGGTTGCAGTGTTAAGAATAGCAATAAAACGCCTCGTTTTTCGATTTCTAGTCGCATCCGCCTACCCCTATATGTTATTCGTACTTGTTGGACATCGTAAAAGTCGCATTTTGTGGGAAGGTCAGAACGGCACCGCCCGGCTTGCACTGCTCATAACTTTTCGAAATCTATGGTTGGGTAACAAGGAAGACCTTTTGTCTTGCCAGAAACTCAGATTTAGTCGGCAAACCTCAGCTGAAAACTTCCACATGTACGCCGAGTGTTCCGCCCCCTGCAAATGTCTTTGTTTTCCAGCGTTGAGTGTTGATACTTGCATTTTGTGGAGCTTCTCTTCTTTTTATTCAGCTGTTTCCTGGATGTGTTGCACGATATTTATTAATGTGAAAACGGAACACTTCTCCTTTATTTTTTATTTTTTTACTCCAGAAGGAAAAAAAACTTGCACTGTTTGTTAGAAATTGTTGCGGGGGGCACATTTTATTATACAAGAATCAGTATTCCTACGGCAAACCACTTCCGGTAGTGTGGAATTACACTCATCTGGTAAGCAATAAAAAATAGTTATTAGAAAGGTCTGTCCTGGCGGCATACGGCCGAACTTTGCCAGGGTGGTCTGTTCGCTGTGAGACATAAGTGAGATTTATTATTTCATATACGGGGGGGGGGGGGGGGACACAAGCACGCGCGCGTTGGCGATAGTGTTCAATGTTCTACACAGTGCGTGAGCGTCGGGTGCTAAACGCTGTGCATGCGTTTGTGCTGCGTGCATAACGCATCCGCAGTGCGCTTGCCTTTGCCCTTATACGCAATACGAAAACTTCTGCTTTTTGGCGATTGCAAGTGTGATGAAGCAAAACACTTCCTGTGTGTTTTTGAAAAATATAACAAAAATCTTGAGTCATTGACTTCTATGGCGCTTCTCCAATGAAACACAGTCAAACTCTCGCTTCCTTTTTGTTGTGCTTAAGAAGCGATCGTACCTTTCTCCGTGACAAATCGCGCGATATCCGCTTAGAGAAGGTTGAAAGTGATCCTGGATGTAACGCGCCTCTTGAGAAAAATCGAAAATGAATGTCGGCAAATGGATTGTCAATATTATTTTCTTGGAATGTTTTTCCGCATCTCCGCAGCCCTTGTTTACGGGTATGTATGGTACAAGCGGATATGACGCGTTCATTACTTTAACTGTATACTTCGTTTCACTAGAAGTCCACCATCAGCGGACGCTACAACACGATGCAACCAATCAAACAACGTAAGAGTGCATCGGCACAGCGATAGTCACCTTTGTGCGTTTATTATCAGCCACTGAGCCAATCCCGCGAACGGGGAAGCACGTGGCTTTGGCTACGTGCTAGGCTACTCAGAGGCTCGTAGGAACTGATGAAAATACGCGCTGGAGAAGGGCGCTACGAGGCTGCATCCTAAAGCAGGCCGTAGAGCGGCAAATTCTCCCGCTTTACTTCGTTGATTTACCAAATCCTACACTTTTAGAAAAAAGCGTATCGATAGTCCTCCCTAAGGGGAAGAACGGTCTTGTAACCTATGTTTCGGGTTGTTCGTTTGCGGGTTTTATATTTTTTTTTTTTTTTTTACATTCGGGGGGGGGGGGGGGGGGGGGGGAAATCGGGTGTATTTTTCAAGCTGATAATCGAGAAGAAAGCGGGTTTTTTGGTGAAACATACCGAAATTCGGGGTTTTGTTCGGGTTAAATTTACAAATGTAGTCAGTAATACACTCGTGTTCTTTTTTCTTCTTTTTTTTTTATTGAAGCGTATCACGAGCTCCTTAACGCTAACGCGTTAAAATTAGGGGTCTGTTTCAAGCGTCTAATCGGGGGGACATCAGGGTTTTCCAGCTCCGATCGCCGCCGGTCGCTTCAAGGGAAGCACCGCCCACGGAATCCTCTTCTCCCTCAGGTGACAACGAAAAACCTGACCGTTCGAGGGACAGCCGTCTTCGATCAGATATTTCGCTATGGAATGAACCTGTTAAGTTGTCCCGATTTGTTTACGCGACAGACTGGCTCGGACGTTGTTCGTGAGAAAGGTTGGAAGCCAGCGCGGTGGCCGGGCTACCCGAGAGACTGCTGGGCGTTGACACCTCAGCGATCAAAGGGGAATTGATAGTGCATTTCACAAGCTGCGTGCAGCAGAGCCGAAGCTACGTGGCATGCCAAGGCGGTTCCACCACCACGGCGGCGGGGGGGCGGGGGGGGGGGGGGGGGACGACGGAAATGTTCCTCCGAGGCGTTGGGGCCTCGGAGGGACATTTCCGTGCGCCGTAAAAATAAATAAGTTGGTTATGTGGTTTTCCAATTCGGGGAGAAGTCGAGTTTAACCCGATTCTCCTGAAACATGTTCGGGGTGTAAAAATCGGGTAAAATCGGGTTCTACCCGAAAACGAACAGCCCTACCTATGTTCCTCTACAAAGGGAGAAACTTTCGTCCCAGAAGCAGGGGAGCAAATAGTTCCTCCGTCGCTTGGATATCATTATGGCGGCCCCGAATCGAGCAAATCGAGCTCGATAAGGCTTAACGAGGACGCTACGTCTCTTGTACGGGACGAGTGGAGCAGCAAATAAAGGCGTAACACGTGCTTTCCTCGAACTGTGTTTATTTCCGAAGCCAGATTCCCCTCGCAGGTACAGAAACTTGCGTTTCGAAAGCAGTTACTCAGTCTTCTCGTCGTCAGCATTGCGATGTTAAACGGAGACAACCGATACCCGGTTACTTCGCACACTCTACGTCTTACCTTTGCTGTTCCTCGAGTGCCAATCCCTTCGTCAACCGCACATCACGGAGAATGGCAAACTCAATCCGCGAAACTTAAAGCCGCTCTCAAAAGAACAAACTCGAAGCCGCTGTTTATCGCGTATCACGAAAGAAGGTTAAATCGCTTGTCATCAGATGGCAGGGTCAAGCAGAGCAATTGCAAGTAGCTAGGCTAGGTAGCGCTAGGTACCGCCCAATTCATGTTCTACAAAAAAACATTTTTATTTTCTCAGGTCCGCATTGCGCTTCGGGAACCTCTGCTATACACACATTACGCATAGTACAAGCAACATTGAGCGCATAGACACACATGGCACATAACAACATCAATACAGCGGCACACTAACCCGAACACTACACCCGGGGTCTGCGTTTCTGCCTTTTATATTGGCCATTTTGAACGTATGCAATTTCTCGGCGACTGCGCAAGCAATAAAAAATATTCCAAGCATGTTGATTTTTTCCCGGCAATGTCATACCCCTGAGAGTATTTTGAACGGCTCAGGGGAAGAATCTCTTATTAAAAAGTAAACGCTCGATCATGCCGTAATCATTTGAAAGCCAATAAATCAAGCCGCTCCAATGCGGTTCGATGCCATGAGTTTGTTTCCCCGCACGGCACGTCGTAGCCTGTATTTCTATTGTAGTGTTTATTTTTCTATTTGTGCTGTTGGCACACGGCTGCAATTGCCGTCTTGAATTAATCTCTGTAGAGCGGATATTCACTCAGCTGGAAGTAATGCTTCACGGGCTGAGAAATTGCTTTTTGATCAACTTGAATGCAGTCAAAGCTGCGACTTGTGGCAGGTGTGAAGTGTAAGGAGCTACGCCGTCGCGAGCTCGGAAACGTCTAGCGCTCATCCCAGTGCGCCACTTGGAGGGCAGGTGAAGGCGAGCGGGTTGAACATGAATACATAAAATTGAAAGCATTAAACACGGGGGGCAAGCACAGGGCAACCACTTGTCCTGTGCTTGTCCCCCGTGTTTCATTCTTTCAATTTTATGTATTGGAGGGTAGTTTCTCCAGGAACCGTAGTATATTTAAACAGCAAAATAAAGGGTGGCATTCTTTTCTTTTTCGATTTTATCTACTATTATTTTTAATGTTAAAATTCCACACTCTAAATATACGTACTTTCCGTCGTCATTTCGTACTGTTCAGTCCTTTCCCCAGGGCGTAATCGCTCTCGGGGAGGAGACAACCGACAGTCATATTGGCCACTGTACGATAGGAGCTTACTGTTCAGACCAGCGTCCCAACATGACTATCCGCACGTCTATGAATTGCACCTAATCCCTCAAGTGGTCTTAAACTTTTTAATGTAAAGTGGAATGCCAACCTGCGACACCCCCTCCGATCATGGCTCGACCGGCGGCATCAATGCCCGACAGTTTACGTCATCTCATTTTGTTGTTACACCACTGATGCGCGAACACACGGTCACATCGGTGATAATTCCAGTCTTCTGTTCACAACGCACAACACTGCCATCACGATGTTGCTGCTATGTTGCTGCCACGCAGAAATACACAACCACGTTGAACGCCGGTTGGCACTCGGCATCGGAAAACAGAACCGAACTCAGCCCAGATGGCACCCAGGCAGCCGGCAGCAAAACATGCCTATCTTCGACGCAGTCCCTGCGAGTTCTATAACGTCGAAAACGTCGACGCAGTTCTGTTACTGTAGTTCCGCGTGGGTCCCGCAATCCGGAGATGGCCATCTTACCCGGTGTACGTAGCGCTGCTGGCACTACTCCGGAACTTCGCTGTTTCTAGAGGCGTCATTTGCTCGTTTGATAAAATTTGTGATAAAAGCGTCAATGCAACCCAAATGTTCTGCAGGTTTGGACTAGAAGAGGGAATTACAGGCGGCCTTGGGTGATAAACCCGAGACTGAGGTATTGAAAAACGACGACAAGAAAAAGAAGGAGAACGTCTCAAACACAACTAAACCTTTATTGAGGAAAGAGCCCTTTATATAGGGTTGAAAAACGAAGGAAGGAAAGGGAACCCTTCTTCACATCACCTCTCTCCACAAAAGGTACGACACCAACTCTCTCCACCTTCTTTTTTCAACCCTATATAAAGGGTACTTTCCTCAATAAAGGTTTAGCTTTGTTTGAGACGTTCTCCTTGTCTTTCTTGTCGTCGTCTTTCATTACCTCAGTCTCGGGTTTATCACTAAAATGTTAAATATACATTAGCTCACTTATGCCCTTACGTTCTGCTCATTAATACTACTACTACTTCTACTACTACTACTACTACTTCTACTACTACTACTACTACTACTACTACTAATAATAATAATAATAATTTTATTCAACAGGAAACCAGTAACACAATACAAATACAGGTCTGTCAAAGCCATAGGAGGCTTGTGGGACATGACCCGGCAAGTCGAGCGACGAAACACTGTGCGTTTTATACAAGAAAAGCACACAACAAAACAAAAGTCACAGGATGCAGGAAACACTGGAGCGAAAGCAACGTTATACGGCTAAATTATTTAACATGTTTTTTAACTGTTTCTTTGTGCTGGCTTTGATGACGTGCTCTGGAAGGTTGTTGAAGATGAAAGGCACATAATATGATCTAACTCTTTTCCCGTAACGCGCAGTACAACGAGGGATTATAAAACGCGATATGTGGCGAAGGTTCCTGTGGCCTACAAAATTAGCCCTGAAATCGTTACTCCAGAAGTGCCGGAGTACCACACACTGCACAAAAAGGGAAGAGAAGTTCGGCATCCGCAGAGACTCAAACACATTCACACCGGAAGAAAAATCCAGATGATACCCGACGCTCTTCAAAATGGCCCTCAAAATACGGTCAATTTTTGTTTGCCACAACTCCGAACAGTTTCCAAATAACGTGATACCATACCTTAGTATACTGTAACCAAGGAAATGCGCGACTGATTTCCTTACAAAAAACGGCATAAACACTCTGTGACTAAAAAGTAAACAGCTTATGCTACGAAGTTTACCACAAATGTACTACAGGTGAGAATTCCAAGACATATCTGAATCAAATAAAATACCCAAATACTTCCCCTGATCTACATATTCCAGTGGAAAACAGTCGCAGTTAGAGCACCTTGAATTGTGCAAAGTCACTGGACAATCAAGGGCGACATTTTTTAGGGGATTTCTAAAACAGACTAATTTTGTTTTCGACGAGTTGATTGTGATTAAATTCTCATCAAACCAGTCCATAATTCGCAAAGCGTCATCCTGCAGAAGCCGTACAGCATGACAATAATTCAAGTGGCCGGATACAAGGGCGGTGTCGTCTGCATACTGAAAAATACTACAACTAGTCACTCTGGCTGACATGTTGTTCACAAACAGGTTAAAAAGTAAA